ACACAGACAACCCCTCGTCAATATGCGTTTTCTGCATTGCATAGATGCAAAAAACGCATAAAAATGCTATTACGTTTAGAATTTATTTTTATGCGTTTTTGCACATACGCAAATGCAAAAACGCATAATGTGTTTGTGAGTGTCTGTCCGGGCACTTCAACTCAACAGTTAAGCTGGCTCCGGCACTAAAATTTTGTCAGTGGGTTCCCCGGCCAAGTGCCACCCCAAGACCCGCGATACCGGACCTTCTGGGCCCAGCGCATGAGTACCGTGAAAATTTTTGGCGAGAAAGAATCGCTAACTCGGCAACCAGAAAACCTGGGGCGCTGAAATTTTAATGGGATATTCCCAGACCCAGTACGATTTGGAGACTTCAAATTCCCTCCCCCCCCCCCCCGCCTTCCAGCCCTCTTCTGGCCCCCTCTTCCCCAATCAGAGCGTGGTTCTCACTTATGGACTTGCCAAAGTTTTTGATGAGCAAATTGTTAGCTCGACAATCAGAAAAGCCGGAGGGCTAAAATTTCAGTGTAATGCTCCTTGCCCAAGTACTACGTAGCTGCACAATTAACTTCCTGAAGTTCAAGGGCCAGTATGTCACAAATTTTAACTGTTGGAATTCCGAGCAATCCTACTACAGCACGAAATACTGCAAAAATGCATGATCGGACGGACTTACCTGGTGCGCGTCACCAGTGATTGCCGCAGTGTTAACTGTTTGTTCTTGTTATCAATGTATTTGCCAAAAAAGGCGTATCGTGACGACCGTTCTGGTGGTTCCACTTTAAAAGTATTACTTTTAGATGTATGTCATCGTTCTAGAAAGCCGGTACGCCTGGGTGCGTCTGTGTGACGGCGACCGACCTCCATCTTTTGCTGCAGCGACTGCGACGATAAAAGCGCTAAAAGCTCTTGAGCTAAAGGAATTGATTCCTGGGACACCATGCATCGTATCAACCAGATTTCACCCACTTGATTTTGTAAATGATGGGATTTCTTATGAGCAAAACGAGGTTACTCTTACAAACATCCCACATTAACGCGCCCAAGTTGTAAAAGAGAAAAAAATAATTGTCCATGTTATTGGCAATCTACCTTTGGAAAATGAGAGGATTAAAATGAAGGTACCCATTGTGAACAAGAATTTTTCAAAATTTTACTGTTACATCCGTTTTTACAGCCTGATAGACTAAGCATAAAGGTGAGGTCATCCAGGAATATTTCAAACACTTCCATGTTGCCGTTAAATGACGAATAATTTCAACAGGGAAAAACTGCTATGTTTCAAAACTAAAGTGGTAAAACTTTTAAGATCAAAATGCTGAATCTAAATTGGTTTATTTATAAGGTAGTGTTGCACTAGCATCTTATGCATAAAAATAAGAGTGTTTAAAAAATGAGTGCTAAATTGAGTTGAAGAAAATATCCAGCCAGTGATTAACTGTGATGTTCAGTTCGAATCCTACGCTCGCGCCATCGTGGAGGAATACGATAGCACAGCGAAAACAGCTTCTGTTCGCTTGGTCGACTTTGGAATTCAGCTCTTTCAAATTGATGTCACGCAGATTAAGCCGCTTATATCTGCTTTCGGAGGTCCACCGTTAGCTGTGCGATTACAGATCGACGTACTGCCCCAGGTATTGCATAGTTCATAGAAATACTTAAGCCGGACCTTTCGGCGTAATCAATGTTGAGCCTTGAAATTTCTTGAAACGCCCAGTTGTCAAGCGCAGGCATTTAAAATTCAATTGTTGTTGGATATATTGTCTCTGGTCGTCATCGTTCGGCACCATTTGAATAGGCGCCACCTTTTCAAGGATTTTTGATTAAAAACTACCTTTGTTTTTCGATTGGTCATTTTTATAGGTTTGACGTTTTTTTCCCTCTCTGTATCCTTACCTATGGCCTCTAGTATAATTTTCGGCTAGTCTTGTAATTCGAAAACAAAGGTAAAGACAGAAGAAAACTTCAAAATATCACTTTCCAAATAATGCAGGGCCACTGACAAAATCTGAACCCAGTTTGATACTGTATGATGATTAAAGCCGCATTCAAGTTTGTATAGGCTAGAATTCAATTTGATAATTTGTCAGTTTGATAATTTGGAGTTTGCTGTGTAACGTGAAACAACGGATGAATGGGATGGGTTTTTATTATGAAATTTTTACTTTCTTGATCACTATTCGTGCTTCAAATAGGATAATCTTGATGTAGGCGTTTTGGGCTGGAATCTAAAAAAAATACAATGCAGGTTTACAGGTGCAAAGGGCTAGATTGTGCCAGCATGCCATATTTCGTGTTCGACTAGCAGTAGCTCGAGAAAAGCAATTCCTATGTTGGCCTAAGACATGGAAAGCAACTGATGCTCAGGTGAAAGTTAAAGTTCTTTTTTCCGATTGATAATAAATGCGATTGTGGTATCGAAATTGGGCTTGCATATAGCAATTGCAAATGAATTGCCTCAATAATGCTTTTTGTTAATGTCAAATTATTTTTGAAGCAATTTAGTCCACAGGTAGTGTACGACCTTGCTCCAAATTCAAGGCTCAATTTATGTTTTTAGGAACAGCTCTACTTTTTTTTAGTTCTCTGTTTTTTATCATGGCGTTCCACAACATATTTCACTTCTAATGTCGCTTTTTACACCTCAGTGCACTTTGTCCTTCTCCAGTTAATTTGACTGCCTGACTCACCAGTCTAACCAATCTTGTTAAATTTCATGCTTATCGGTTCAATTTTTTTTTTTTAATATTTTCACACATCATGATGTTGCGCGAGAATTTTTTGAACATAAGTAGGATTATGCTGCAGCACTATTGCTTAGCAACTGATACTGACTGGTGTCACTATCTTGACCGTCTGAAACAAATGAGACTGTTGCTTTAAAAAATCCATTTTTCATTGGTTGCAAATGAGTTGTTAAACAGCTACTGCATTTCGTGTCGTAGTAAGACTGGAATCTCAGTAGCTAGAATTTGTGACATGCTGATCCTCAAAGTTCGAAAATTGCGCAACTACATAGTACTTGGACAGGGAATACTCCGTTAAAACTTCAGTTTTCCAGCTCGTCTGGTTTCCGAGTTGGCAATTTTCCCGTCAAAAAATTCCATGGAGCAATACGTGAGAAGCAGGCACACCTGGGGGCAGAATTTGAAAACTTTAAGTTGTGCGTAGGCTGGGAATTCTCCCTTAAAATCTCAATCTCCCAATTTTATGGTCTTCAAGTTATTGGTTTCCCGCCAAGATTTTCGAGTGCTTGTACGTGGAACCCAGACGTATGTAAAGGTACAACGGCTGTGGAACAGCGCTTGGTCGGGAAACTCAATGGCACAATTTTGGCGCCGAACTTTGCTTGGTTGCCGAGTTGAAATACCTGGCCAGATGCATACACATACACCTACATACATACATACAAACACACACACACATACTTCATGGTTTTTGCATTTGCACATGTGCAAAAACGCATAATTAAAAACAACGTGAAATTTCTATGCATTTAAATGAATCTTCATAAGGGAACGATGATGAGTTTGATAAAGAAATGTGGTGACCAGCAAAATACGCCTGTTTGCTATTTACTTTCTAAACGTTTTTTAATTCAGAGACAAAACTGGGAAAAAGACAGTGACTGCTCAGCCAGTCTCAAATCCTCTGATTTACGTCAAAGTAACGGTCAGCGAATATTTTACTGCATATTTTGGAAGGAATTTTTTTCAACTTAAACGTTACAAATGCTTTGCACCACTTGCTTTGTACTAAGGCGTCGCTTCCAAGCAACGCAGTAAATTTTCATACTAGAAAATCTGCATTAATTTATTACTTATTATGTTTTCTGTTTTTAAAAGGCACGTAACCATCGCATTTCTCTGCGAAGTCCTTTCAAATTCATTCAAAAAATCCATATATAAAAGTCAGCGTTACTCCACTGGCCTTAACAAACTTCCTTAATTTACTGGTAGTAACGGCATTAAGCATTTCTGTTGGAGCAATCTTTGGAGCAGTCTTACCGAGAAGCATTTATTAAGCTCGCCGCTACATTGAAATTTTTACTATACTTGTAAAATTCATTCAACACCTATCATTCGTCTGAAATGCTTAGACAAACAATGGCGAAACAGCAGAAAATTATTTGTCAGTTCTTTGCCCGAATTCTAAAAAGTGCTTTGGCAATAAATGTCTTTTCGATTTTAGTTTCCCGCAAATTTTCCTACCCCAGTGATTTCAACAACGATCACTATATGCACAGTGAGTTTGGTTCGACTACAAACAGTTTTTGAACTAGTAGCACTTAAAGCAGCCTTTTACAGTTTCACCATGTTTTGGCCCGGTAGCACGAGCCTTCGTTTCCTCCTGGCTCAACAAAGACCACAAACGAGCCGGCGGCAAAGGGATAGAAGCTGCGCTCTGCGGGATTGCCGAAACTCGCTCAGGTGAGTGCTGTCAGCAAATGCCTCTGGATAAGAGCTCTTCTTTTTTGTTGCTGCATACAAACCAGCTTAGAACTCCGGAGACTTCGAAGTTGCTGTAAAATTTTGATGAGCGAAGGCTGCAATTCAGCAGTTCAAATAGCTGTCTAACTGCTCGGAGGCTCATTTTAGCAAAAGCAGAGCCAAGTTACATCATTAGGAACCAACGGGTGTTTATTCTGTGAGTTAGATACCCGAACCACAGAGTAGATTCAGCACTTGAAATAATGCCTACCCTCGTCGGAACGAGGATGCCCTAAGCTTATGCAGGGACAATGTGGGTGTAACTGTTCCTTCCCCGCATTGGAGTGTTTTTCAGTTCATGGAATTTTAAGATATTGTCCTTAAATATTTTTTTTTACTCAGCAACAAGAATTTTTTTGAGTTTATTTAGTGCAGGAGGGAATTTAAAGAGAAAGTAATTGACTTCCCTCTTGACAAAATTCTGTGTGCTGGATGACTTTTTCAGTTTCAGATTATTTTTTCTTCTCTCTTTCTTCCCCTTCTACGAATTCGAACTTCAAATAAGTCCTACTATGTAGATTTCCCTTCTTTTTTATCCTTACTTCTTTTAAAACTGTTGGAGTGTTTCAGCACAAAATTTTTGAGAATAATATGTGTTTCTTCACATCGCTGTTAAGCCTTTGCACTTTCGCTTTTTGCAAACCCCAGTTTCAGATTTGCCGCCGAGCGAATTTGCTGTAGATGCAGCTGACAAGACGGAGTCGATTAAATCCACGCAATCTTCCAACAGCAGCAACAGCAGCAGTGGCAGCACCACACGCCCGCTTAATCTTGCTTGGGTATGTTACTCTAATTCTCATTCTTTTGTAATATCCGTTCTTCTCCTTATAAACTTTCATTTTTATGCGTTTTTGCATATATGTAAATTGCAAAAAAACATATTGGGAAGAGGCTGTCTGTGTATGTGTGTGTGTCTGTGTCTGTGTGTTCCCACTCTTCATCACCCACTTTCAATTCAAGACCCATAAAAGCTAGAAGGCTGAAACTTTGGGGATATGTGCCCATACCATGCACGACTCTCCCGTTTTAATTTCATCCCCCTTGGACACCTGGGTGCAGCGTACGGACGTTTTAAAAAAATATGCGAATTTTTTGGCGGGAAGGCGACCTCGGGAACTACATGAGCTTTGTAGGGATATCCCCTGTGCATGTGCTGCTAAAGCTTTCAAATTCAGCCTCCAGGTATGCGTCGTACTCACGTAAGAGCGTATGAAAGTTTTAGAGAGAAAATTCCTAACTCGGGTACCAGAAAAGCTAGAAAGCTGAAATTTTGGGAGAATGTTCCCTATCCAATTACAACTCAAATGTTTCAAACTCAGCCCCAGACTGTGCGTTGTACTCACGTAAGTGCGTATGGAAGTTTTTGCAGTAAAATTACTAA